ATATTCATTAGATAAAAGAAATCATTGATATGTTTTTAAACGTAAAACGCACGGAGAGATGAAAAACCAAAAACAAAAAAAGAAAAAGACAATAATAAAAATTTAATGTACTTTTGTAATGGTAGTTGGAACGAAAATATCATTATACTACATCCCATAAAAATTATGTCAAAATTTAGAGTTATGAGGATCACAAACTATTTAAAATTTTTAAAATCCATAGTAAAAAGCCTAAAAAAGTATAATCAAATTATAATACATGATGTTAATAACAAATTATAATGATATTAATGATTATCAATATTAAGAACTACAAATTGTAAACTAAAAAAGAAGGTATTTAATTTCAAATGCTTGAAAATTTGTAACAAAAATTAAATTTTGCTGTAATGTTAGAAAGTATAGAACACAAAAACAAAATTAAAGCTATTTGTTAAAAGTGCTAATAAAGAATAATTTATTGTGAAAAAGAATTTATTTTTTATAACTTTAAAAATACTTTAAAATAAGTTATAGGCAATTTTAAAAATAAAAGCGTTGGTCACCATTTTCCATAGTCAAGACAACAAAATTAATTTTCAAAATTAAAAAATACAATAGTTTTTTTAAAATAAGTCAGAAATATTTTTTTGAGCATGGGTAATTACAAATTTACAATTAGAAGGATTAAAAACCGATAGGCTTACATTAAATATGTATAATTTATTTGTAAAACATAAAAATTATAAGAGATAAGTTACAAAGCATAAAAGCACGAAATGATTTTTTTGATAATTTGAAACTTATAATTACTAAGACAAGTGGATAAATGTATTTGTCTAGAAATAAAAAAGGATATGGAAGCATACCTTGGCTATTTTTGTACTAAATCAAGCATGATGTTTTATGACTTAAAAATAACAAATTTTAGTATTTAAATATGACTGAAGTTCATTTCATTGTAAAGATCTTTAAAGGAAACAACAAACAATTGAATTACTAATGAAAAAGGAGAATTTGAAAATCGGTAATCAAAAATTTCAAATCGGTAGTAAAATTTTAAATCAAGAAAATTTTGCTGTAATAGAAAATATCAAGTTTTTAAATCAATAAAATTTTGCTATAACAGAAAATATTAAATTTTTAAATCAATAAAATTTTGCTGCAATAGAAAGTATTAAGTTTTTTTTGGGTACGTTTTAATTGAGGTGTAAATACAATTTTAAAGCATCGACATGTGCTTTGAAAATAAAAACCATCATTATAAAGCACATACTAAGTTTAAAAAAATACAAAATAAATAATATTAATTAAAAATAGAAACACATGCATTCCTAAGATGAAAAGGATACATAAAATAATATACAAAGAAAAGAACTCAATGTCCTATGACCTTGACTCTCCTATGAACTCAACCCTTATGTGAAAACAACCTAATCATATCTTCCTAGATTAATATTTATATCTCCTACTTTTCCTTTTTCCTTCTTCTAAAATGAATGGATCCAAAATATTTCCTTTCCTTAAACATTGGTTTTTTCCAATCACGTGACATAGCCTTTATCTAAAAACAACATAATCAACATCTCCCTAGATTAATATCGATATCTCCTACTTTCTCTTTTTCCTTTTAAAATGAATGGATCCAAAATATTTTATTTTCTAAAACACTGGTCTCTCTCAATCACGTGACATGTCGAAGGGATAATGAAAATTTTTCATTATGACCCCTCTTTTTTAAAATATGTCTAAGCAATTACAAATCTTTTAAATTTGAATATCTTTATACTTCATTCAAAATCCTTAAAGTTTAGTGTTGAGGAAATTTCTAATTAAATAAAGATATATTTAATTAAATAAAGATATATCTAATTAAATAAAGATATTCGTTTTTTGGGTCTACTACCAACGCCATATTTAGAAAGAGAGTCTTTATCTCATCTATTTTTTTTGACAAAAACCAGAAATTATATCAATACTCTACAATCTCTCTATTTCAATGTCACGTGCCCTATAGGGTTCAGTTTTATTTTTTATGATATGTGTCTACACCTTAACTCAGGCTTAATAATATAGTATAGATATTAGTTAACTCTATAGTAATAACTTTAAAAAACTATGTTAGAGCCATTTGTTTGATCCAAAATTTTGAAATATACACTCTTTTCATTCTAATGAACACAAAAAAGAAAAATTTGAAAATGGAACCTATAAAGTATTGTTTTAGCCCAATTAACATAGGGCGTCCATTTTGATAAGATGGTTAGATCTAGGCATTAGAAGGAATTTTTTTCTTTTTCAGTTTATTTAGATGACTTTATTATCATTAGATGAGCAATGTTAAAAAAGATAAAAGTGATTTTGAGTTTGTAAATGCTAAGATTTTGAAATTCACCAAATGAATGGTCTAGATTTATTGTTGGAGGGGACTCATTTTGACCATATCTAGAGTTCAAATCCAACTTTTTTTTAAGGATTGATTATTGAGATGCAAAGAGTGTGTATGTAAAATTTTGGGTCATACAAATATGAGTTTCTAGAAGTTGTGTTGCATTATACTATGATACAACCGTTGCATGTGATCATTGCCCTTAGCAATATGATTTCATACAATGATTGCATAGTAATGTAATGCAAGAATCTTAAAAAACTATGTTAGAGCCATTTGTTTGATCCAAATTTTAAAGAGCAATGATCCAATGCAACGGCTGTATCATAGTATAATGCAACGACACTTATAGAAAACCATGTTTGTGGTATTTGTATGACCTCAAATTTTGCACACACACTCTCTTCATCTCAATAA